TATCGTCAAGTGTGAGAATCATAGGGAACATGGATAGGCGCCGTTGCACCAAAAACTGCTCTTGGGTTTGGTATACGGCCTGGTATATGGTCCAGACCAGGCAGCTAAACTTGAATGCTGCACTGTGGCCATTGGCTCAATTTGGGGGAGCCATTGTGATGCTGCTTTTCTAGTGTCTCCAAATGGACGCTTGAAAGCCGGAATTCTGGTGTCACTATACGCTCTCCTAACGCGCGAATGCTATAGGATTGGCAGGCCTCTGCGTCCGCACAATGATTTCACTGCCAAAGGTACAATCTGCGTATCTACCCCGAGCTCAAACCAGGGACGCGCGCCTGCAGCTATATCGGCGGGCCTCGATGCACAAAAGTCTATCAGTTTGGGGGACAATCTCCTAGTAGCTGCTGTGCGGCCTCTTTATCTGCTGGCCAACAAATTCTGTAACTCCACAAAATCTTGGACAATGTATACTTTTGACCAAATGTCCGCATATCGAATGTAAACCTGTCTGAAAGCGCACATGTTTGCGTCGCCGTCATAGCTGTGGATCTGCAGCAACTCTCAACTTTAGTGAGTCTTGTGCGCTGACTAGGATGCAGGTTCTGGGAAGAATGTCTGCCTGTTGACAGGACTTCTACGGACTTCACGGAGTGAACACAAAAATATTGTCAAGTGTGAGAATCATAGGGAACATGGCAAGGCGCCGTTGCACCAAAAACTGCTCTTGGGTTTGGTATACGGCCTGGTATATGGTCCAGACCAGGCAGCTAAACTTGAATGCTGCACTGTGGCCATTGGCTCAATTTGGGGGAGCCATTGTGATGCTGCTTTTCTAGTGTCTCCAAATGGACGCTTGAAAGCCTCTGCCGGAATTCTGGTGTCACTATACGCTCTCCCAACGTGCGAATGCTATAGGATTGGCAGGCCTCTGCGTCCGCACAATGATTTCACTGCCAAAGGTACAATCTGCGTATCTACCCCGAGCTCAAACCAGGGACGCGCGCCTGCAGCTATACCGGCGGGCCTCGATGCACAAAAGTCTATCAGTTTGGGGGACAATCTCCTAGTAGCTGCTGTGCGGCCTCTTTATCTGCTGGCCAACAAATTCTGTAACTCCACAAAATCTTGGACAATGTATACTTTTGACCAAATGTCCGCCTGTCTGAAAGCGCACATGTTTGCGTCGCCGTCATAGTTGTGGATCTGCAGCAACTCTCAACTTTAGTGAGTCTTGTGCGCTGACTAGGATGCAGGTTCTGGGAAGGATGTCGGCTCGCTGCCCAAACTTCCACGGACTTCACGGAGTGAACACAAAAATATTGTCAAGTGTGAGCATCATGGGGAACATGGATAGGCGCCGTTGCACCAAAAACTGCTCTCGGGTTTGGTATACGGCCTGGTATATGGTCCAGACCAGGCAGCTAAACTTGAATGCTGCACTGTGGCCATTGGCTCAATTTGGGGGAGCCATTGTGATGCTGCTTTTCTAGTGTCTCCAAATGGACGCTTGAAAGCCTCTGCCGGAATTCTGGTGTCACTATACGCTCTCCCAACGTGCGAATGCTATAGGATTGGCAGGCCTCTGCGTCCGCACAATGATTTCACTGCCAAAGGTACAATCTGCGTATCTACCCCGAGCTCAAACCAGGGACGCGCGCCTGCAGCTATACCGGCGGGCCTCGATGCACAAAAGTCTATCAGTTTGGGGGACAATCTCCTAGTAGCTGCTGTGCGGCCTCTTTATCTGCTGGCCAACAAATTCTGTAACTCCACAAAATCTTGGACAATGTATACTTTTGACCAAATGTCCGCCTGTCTGAAAGCGCACATGTTTGCGTCGCCGTCATAGTTGTGGATCTGCAGCAACTCTCAACTTTAGTGAGTCTTGTGCGCTGACTAGGATGCAGGTTCTGGGAAGGATGTCGGCTCGCTGCCCAAACTTCCACGGACTTCACGGAGTGAACACAAAAATATTGTCAAGTGTGAGCATCATGGGGAACATGGATAGGCGCCGTTGCACCAAAAACTGCTCTCGGGTTTGGTATACGGCCTGGTATATGGTCCAGACCAGGCAGCTAAACTTGAATGCTGCACTGTGGCCATTGGCTCAATTTGGAGGAGCCATTGTGATGCTGCTTTTCTAGTGTCTCCAAATGGACGCTTGAAAGCCTCTGCCGGAATTCTGGTGTCACTATACGCTCTCCCAACGTGCGAATGCTATAGGATTGGCAGGCCTCTGCGTCCGCACAATGATTTCACTGCCAAAGGTACAATCTGCGTATCTACCCCGAGCTCAAACCAGGGACGCGCGCCTGCAGCTATATCGGCGGGCCTCGATGCACAAAAGTCTATCAGTTTAGGGGACAATCTCCTAGTAGCTGCTGTGCGGCCTCTTTATCTGCTGGCCAACAAATTCTGTAACTCCACAAAATCTTGGACAATGTATACTTTTGACCAAATGTCCGCCTGTCTGAAAGCGCACATGTTTGCGTCGCCGTCATAGTTGTGGATCTGCAGCAACTCTCAACTTTAGTGAGTCTTGTGCGCTGACTAGGATGCAGGTTCTGGGAAGAATGTCTGCCTGTTGACAGGACTTCTACGGACTTCACGGAGTGAACACAAAAATATTGTCAAGTGTGAGAATCATAAGGAACATGGAAAGGCGCCGTTGCACCAAAAACTGCTCTTGGGTTTGGTATACGGCCTGGTATATGGTCCAGACCAGGCAGCTAAACTTGAATGCTGCACTGTGGCCATTGGCTCAATTTGGGGGTGCCATTGTGATGCTGCTTTTCTAGTGTCTCCAAATGGACGTTTGAAAGCCGGAATTCTGGTGTCACTATACGCTCTCCCAACGCGCGAATGCTATAGGATTGGCAGGCCTCTGCGTCCGCACAATGATTTCACCGCCAAAGGGTACAATCTGCGAGAAACACTTGGCAGGCTATGCTTTTTCTGCAAAAGGGTTGCAGCTTCGCATCGAATCTGATCCAGGACCATTGCCACATGCATCGAAATGGCATGGGAAGATTGGCCGCTGACATTTTTTGTGCGAAGTTTGCTCATGCTCTCAGCAACGGAACATCCACCGTGCGAAGGCGGCATCAATAAAGGGGTAGCGGAAGGCGGAGGGGTTGTACTGCTGCTTTGCTTTTGCCATTGCTTTCGCGCTGCTTTCACGCGCAATGAGTTCACTTTTGCGACGCAGTTTTGATTATGATTACTTTCGCAGCGGCTTTCGCCGAACAAAACCGTAAATCATCCTATGGTATGCAAAGTCGAAGTTAGATTTAGCTGTGCCAATGCTTTCCGACTTTCACGGAAACTTTCGCGACATTGATGTCACTTTCGCGGTGCTTTCTCGCAGCTTTTGCGGTCAGGCTTTTAGCTTTCGCCAAAGGTGCCCCATGACAACTTCAGATGACAACTTCAGACCGTTTTTCGATGCCTGATAAAAAAAATCCAAGACGTTTCCGATGGTGTCCGCTGTCGACCGTCCTCGCCTGCATTTTTCCTGTGGCAGCCATGCCACAATCTCTGATACTGAAATTCACATCATGTGCTGCCGTCCCTATATCCAAAATTTGGGCGGCTTTGCCAAGGCCCGTTGGAGCACTTTGGTAATCTGCAATCATGACAGCATCAGGATGATTCAGTTCGGCCAGCCTGGTCACTGGCCAAACTCTTCAAAATCCTCACGAAGGCACACCTTGACAGACACAATGACGCACTTGTCCAAGCGCACTTGACATTGGCGGGTCACAATTGTTGCAACCAGCTCCGGCGATTCCACAAGCATGCCGTTTGTCAGGGCCATCCACAAAGCCTTGCGCCCATGCCTTGAACCCAAACCTTGCGCATCATAAGGTGCCACCACGCCAAACCAAGCGAACCCCCAACATGCAAACTGCAAATCAATCGAATCCTAAATGAATGCTCGAAATTTCTTGTATGCTAATCATGTCCTCATCTGACTACAGGTTGGACATGGCGGTTTTTGTCTTGTTTCTGGAGTTTCTGGTATTTTCTGTATGGTATTTGCTACAGTTTGGAGCTGAAACCTTTGTAGTAAATCATGAATATATAATTTGATGTATATAACAAAGGGTCTTCATGAAATTCATGGCGGTTACTCGTTGGACATGAAAACAGTGGAGACCCGATCATCTCAACCATGTTCACCATTAAGATCACCTTCAAAGGTGTCATGTCCAATGCCACCGTTGTTTTGCCAAAACTAAATATTACTAAGTCTAGGACATTGCAATTCATCCTGTTGGAGTAATAAAGGTGCCTGTTCCAGTCAATAACTGTTTCGTCATCATGGAAAGGCAACCAACTGAGGTAACCCCCTTTAATACTGAATCATAACTTTTTGCCATTTTGCGGCCCATTTCTATGCAGTAGCGCGAAAATCCGATTGAAACGATAGGAGAAGTTGATCTCAGTTGGGGTATCTCCCACTGTGCTTGACGCTAAAACCAAGTCACAGTCACAGACAGCTCACCTCACTTCAGGGATCATCCCGAAGTTGGGGATCAAAATCGAAGAAAACCAATTGACTCAAACCAAATCTCAAGGATTTCTTACAACTCAAACAGTTCACAGCCAAGGCCCATCGCATTTTTCCTTCCAGCGTAGCTGTAGCTATGTCGAGGATCATCCATCAGTGCAAGAACCATGACAGGTATGCTCACAAGGAGGTCTTGACCTGAGGATGCCAGTCAGCTGGAGAAATCCCAGACTTGCCTCACTCAACTCTTGTTTTGAGACACAATGTTGCATCAAAAAAAGGTGACGAAACGAAGCAAACAACAAAGCCGAAAAAAAACAAATAATAAAACTCTAAACTTGTCTTCGGGCTCAAAACCACAACTATAGGCACCGTCACCAAAGCAGAAACGCAAAAATTCCAACATGGTTCCAGTGAGGTTCCAGCAAAGTTCCAAGAAAGTTCCAAGAAGGTTCCAGGATAGTTCCAACACAGTTCCAACACAGTTCTAACACAGTTCCAACAAGGTTCCAGAAGGTTCCACAAAGGTTCCAGGAATGTTCCAGCACAGTTCCAACAGGAAGGTTCCAAGAAGGTTCCAACAAACTTCCAACAACGTTGCAGCACTGTTCCAGGAAGGTAGCGAGGTTCCGGCAAGGTTCCAGGAAGGTTCCAGCAGGGTTCCGGTTTTTCGGCGCCTGCGTTTTCCTCCCACCAGTCCCCGGCCCAGAGATTGAAACCAAACAGATTCGCTGTTGGGAATATGGTGATTCTTATCGTGGTTGGTCTTGTGGATTCTGACCCGTGGAATCATTCGCTCACCCCAAGTATCGATCGTGTCGTACTTGGAAAAGTTCCCGTTTCCAAGTTGTGCTTGGCAAAATCCCCCCGCAAGACACCAATCTCTCAGAGCAGGACCCTCCAAATTCAGCTCTTTACAAAGCGGAGCCAAATTCAATTCCCCACCGCGCGCCGCATTGCACATCAACAATGCCGTCCCACAGGTTGCACTGGTTGTTGTACCCTGGGGTTTGCAGCGTATTTAGCTCTGATTTCAAGGGATTTGGCTGATTCAGCGCTGGCTTGTGCGGCTATCATACGACATCTCATGTGGGACATCTAATACAACATCTCCAATACGAAGGCCAGCGCTCCACTTCTATCACACAGCAAATCAAACATGGCAATTGAAATTCCTCCATTCATCTCAGTTTGGTACGGGTCAAAACCAGCTTTTCATTGTCATAGCTGATAGTTGGGGGTCTTGATCCCCATGACCCATCCCAAATTAGTCATGGCGGACGAGATTCCCATATCACCTACGGTCTGTAAGTCAAAATGTTTCAGGTTGAAGGTAGTGCAGGAAAAGTCTCACATAATGTTGGCGTGTCAATCATATTCACTAAATTGTCAACCATCCAAATATATCCAAATGATATCCATGATATCGAACTTCTATGGGTTGATAGAATATTATCCCATCCTTTGCATCTATATACATCATCTATACTCCCAAATCTTTGTCAAATAAATCAAAGGATGGTTATTTCCAATGTATTAGATATTTCCAATGGTTGTCCAATCACCATTTTGTCAAATAAATCGCAATGTTGCCCGAAAAATGGTGATTCCCAATGGATTTCCACATCGCCTCGGCAGCTAGCTGTTGATCGGTGCCTGACGGGATCACAGTGAGAGACCACCAGATTTTGGAGGTGTGGTTGAACAATCGAAAATGGGGGATTTAACATGGTTCAATCATCCTGAAATGGTGGTATATTGGCTAGTATGGTTGTCAATACATGCGATCAGGGATCGCACAATGAATAAACCCAACATTCAACCAGTAGTTTGTTTGGATAACCCAGTAACCCCCTGGGTCGTTGATTTTGAAGTGTCAGTTGTCATCGCTAAATCAAACGAGTAGCGCCTTGGCACAAATGGCTGCACATGTTTCTTTCCACATCTGAAACCATAACATGGTGAGATTATGTGAGATTGACATGCCCATTTTCGAGGAATATTTTCCTGGAATATGTTCGAGGATTTTTTTTAAGCACATTCTCCAAATCAAACAGTTTTTTTGGGATACACAGTTTTGAGGAATTTCTACCTGCCAGGCTCGTCTCCCAAGTGAATCCTAGGATGACTTCGTTCAGTGGCACTATTTCACCATGGGCAGAAGGTGATAAGTTGAACTTGAAATCTCTCAAAAAAATGGAAAATATAAGGAGAGATCGATATCCATGTCTATAATTTCATCCAATATTCCAACTATTTCAGGGGCAGGTTGCAACAACTGCACCTAAATGAAGACTGCACTTTGTTGATGATGATCTGGAGCATTTTTCAGGTCCTCTTTCAAAATGATGGACCCATGTGTACTAGCTAGGTAGGCAGTTCCCTCCCAAAACCCTCCCAATGCGCTGTCAAACATTGCAACGCCTTACGCCGTCTGAAATCGTTCGCCACGCCAAAAAACCTAAAGTATATTATCACCTAACGTGAGGCTATCGCCACGGTATATGTATAAATAATATATCAAAAAAGGTGCATATAAACGAAAGTGCAGTCTGTCCACATGTGAATTGCCGAAAGCGCCTTTTTATCCTTCTCTTTGTTTGCTCAGGGTTTGGCTACCACAACCAAAGGGGTTCGACTAGCCACACAAAAGACCGGTGTGGCATCCGAGCCATCTTTGTACCCCCCTATGGTGTGGGTGGGTGGGCTAAAAAATTGCTCCAACCCAAAGGTTTGGTCCACTAAATGTTGTGGTATATAACAAACATTGTCATTCCATGTTTTTCCAAAAGCCGGGAAAAACCAAGTAGGGATTCAGACATCCAAAGTGGGAATGTTTCCAAAAAACCGAGAAAACATCCTCCAGAAGTGTTTGTACAATTCTTACCCAAGTTAGTGAAAAACTTGGACAGTGGAAAAGGGCACCATCTTTCAGATTGTGCGACTTGTTTGTATTTACACAGAGTTTGTGAGGGTTTGCATTCACAAACTTCCGAGTATACACTTTGGTAAACTTCCGCCAAGGGCGTGACACACAAGAGTGCGATTATGCTAAGGACAAGGCGCGGCAGGAGCGCAACAAGATGTTCAAGAGGCACCGGGGAGGAACACAAGACCAACCGGGCAAGAGTCAAGACCGGACTCAGCCAAGAGAGTTTTACCTACCAAATACACAGTCGCAACACGTCGCGAATGCTTCATCTCCAAAACGAATGTGAAAAGAGAGTGAATGATGACCACGTTTTTGTTGACATCAAGTCATCCTGTGCAAAAGCAAGATTTCACTTGTCCTCTGCCACGCAAAACCCTTCCGAAGATTTTAACATGACTGCTTAAACAGTCCACGAACATGTCAGTGTATGATTATTGTGCACAAAATGATGGTTTCATCTTATTCTACTCATGACTCTTCACATGTACTTTCATATACACCTACACCATCTGCATCGTTTTTGGCCTCAGTGAATCTCAGTCGGTCAATCTCGGTGAATCTTACTTCGTCGACTTGGTCCGCTGAATCTGGGCGACTTTGGCCCTTCGAAAAGGTGTGGTGATATTTGAACAGGAGCATTGACCAAAATTGCCATGCACCGCTCCAGTTAAATATTCCCACAAACTTTCAGATCGGTCAATTTTTCGACAACATTTGTCGGAAGGACTACAACTCAGAACTTTGCCGAGCAAATAAAATCGTTCCGCCAGCGCACGAGGCATGGCCACCCAGTGATCCATTTGAAGTGCCACACTGCCGTTGGAGATCCACTCGGGAACCCAAGCGACATCACGAAACCAATCATGATCATTACGGTTCACGTCATATCGCAGATCCGGGCGGGTTAAAATTACCACTTTGAACCTGCGACCTCGGGTTTGTTCAAATCGCATCATCATCTCAAGGCTACTGATGACGTGTGCGAGCTGATTCAGGCCACGTAAGAAGCGCACGCGATTTTCGAAGAAGGCTTCGACACCGTCCACCGATTCAATGAATTGAATATTTCGGAAACATTCCTGGGGGAACAAAATACATCATGACGTCGACGCTCGATTTTTGAGATGATGACTGGTTGATTTTGTATCCAGTACTTCTTTTGTTGGGCTGGCAGCTTGCTGGTCTGGTTCTTTTTCCCCCGATTGGAAACAAAACTAGTGATGGATGTCAAATGACCTAGTGATGACTACTGTTGAATTCAAACATTATATCATTATATCAGATCCCAAGTAGAGATTGTGTCTTCCCGCAATGGATTGTCAGATTTGACATCTACCATTTCTCTTGCCCCTACCTGATGCAGAACATACTGCGCAAGGTTCTCCTCCGTCACATCCTCAGCATTCGCGACCAATTCCACTGCTTGGGGCCTCAGCGACGTCAGCGCCATCTTCAACGCAGTCTGATTGGTTTCATGGATGGCGGCCAGGTTGCGATGCGTTTGGTTCTTCGGCCCAGCACCCTCCAAGGTGCCATAGAGGAAAAACGAAACCGTCCAACCCCAGAGTTGCTCATGAAAGGGTCGGATTTGAGAAAAGACCACAGGAACTGTGAAGGTGCGAAGATTCCCTGCTATGCAAACAGCAACACCACGTGGGGCTTTCGTAAATGCTGGTGGCAGAATGGTATTGGATGTATTGACAATAGTAGATGTAGTGTATGTGCTCTCCACATCTTCAAGGTTTGGCTCAGTCGCACTTTGCCGCTGAAATTTCATTTCTGTAGACAGTAGAAGCACTACAGTCCAGGATGTCATCAGCAAACCACACCGTGCAAAGCTTCCACTCCATGGCATTGGAACAGTCGGCCATTTCCTGCCAACTCGAGCCGGCGCTCAACATGTTTTATGTTTTGCCACTTTTTTGTTGCTCAATTTTGTTGTTTTTTTCACCATATGGAACCATGGAACTATCCATTTTGGTGATAACGTCAATCAGGATTTGCATCCCCAAAAGAACGGAGAATATCTCCTACAACTGGACATCGGATCCCATTTGTACCCCATTTGCATCCCCATGATGTCCGCATTTTGCCATCCTCACTGCTGCCACTCCCACATATTCAAAGCCGATGTCTTCGTTGCCTCGTAGATTTCATCGGAATCGTGAAGTCGCTGATCGGAAAACATATAATATACAGCTAGACGAGTGCAGGCCTTCGTTCATACCCCAGTCCCACCATCCCGCAAAAATATAATTCTTAAAATTTTGTCATCCAAAAAAAAAACTTTAGGATATATTTTTCAAAAACTATATCCTACAGTTATGATTTATTTTTCTTCTTCTCTTCTTCGTTCTTAAAATGCTTCTGTGTCTTCAAATGTTGAGACATTCCATTCTTCTTCACTTTGCATTCACAAATTTCACAATAAACTTCTATTTGACGATATGCCCTTCTTTCCTCAATATGTTCTGCATACCACTTCTTATTCATTTCTAATCTTTTGTCTCTGTTCTTCCAATGTTTTTCTCTGTTCTTTTCTAAGCACCTTAAACAGTATTTATTTATATCATTAAACTCTTCTACCGGTTTTGTTGCATTGCATCTCTTACAATATATTTTCTCCATACTCTACATAGGCATTACTTCTTTAAAGTGTTTTGCACCAGTTATTTATATTTCTGAAAATTTCTAAATTTTATGTTTTTCAAAAATCTAAATTTTATTTTTCAAAAATCTAAATTTTATTTTTCAAAAAAAAATATTTTCAAAAATTTCATCACATTTTTTTTCACAAAAAATCTTCCAAAAAAAATCATAAGTCTTAAAAATATTTTTTACTTTTAAGGCTTATGGATTAGTCCTCATTATATTAAGGTAACTTTTCTTTAAGTGTTTTTGAGTTAAAAGTCAAAAAATATCATGATTGATTTTTGAAAGCATCCTTCAATTTTGTAAATAGAACTTCTCTATATACATCTCTCGCCTCTTTGATTGTTTGTGACTTTCTGCTTTGGTTTCCCTTTGCTGAT